AGCATGTATACTATATCTCTCATTCGCACACTCGTGTGTGTACACACTTTTTTATGGAATCTCTTTGCAATAGGGGAACCTGCAAATTCACATCCCCGAGACAGGTTAAGTTCACTGGTCTGAAAGCACATTATAGGAAGCTAATCAGGTCTGGTTCTGATCAGACCAAAAAGAAGGTCACCTAAGAATCCATTTGTGCCACATTGAGTTGCATGCTGGGTGAAAGTTTGTTTATAAATGCAAAGAAATGAATAAAGAAATTATTGCTTACATTCTGTTAGATTTATGAGACTAGTTACATAATCATCTTAAACCCATTTGCTAGTAAATATATTTCAACGTAGCATATTGGTAAAATCACACACAGTTTATTTTATCAGTGCACAATTACATTCGGAAGGAGTCTTACAATTCCTTAAGTCTATTGTAGCAAAAACTTTTGTGAAGAAGTCCGCTTATGCTACAGAAACTCTGCTAATCTTTAAAGTACCAGTTTAGTAATTTTTGTATGATGTAGTCAGCTGCCTTGGGCTTCTTTTTGGAAAGAAAAATGGGCTACAAATAATCAGAATGGGGGGAAACCCAAGATTTTTAAACTGATTTTGCTGTGGTAACAGACTAACAATTGTTAATACCATGAAATTGTAATCTAAGTTTGTTTGTTTGTTTATTATTATTATTATTATTAAAAACATTTAAAAAGAATGTATGTGCATTCATATTGCTATTTTGGGACATAGGGAAGGCAACCACAAGCCATTGTTGAATGGAGAGAAATAAGGCGTTAAATTTATTTGGATCCACAAACCTCCAAGAACACAACAAATGCTACTACCGAGTTCAAGATAATATATCATGCCTAGTGGTGAGATGGAATTTTAAATTGTTTAAATCAAACCATTTTATATTTAATTTTTAAAAAATCGGATAAGGTTGAGGGACTAATTTACACTGAACTTTAAATTAACTAGCAAGTACTGAAATATATATAAAACCACTATTTAAAAACCCAGGAATCTAGCTGTCTAGCTCCAGAGGGAAAGCTAAGCACATACTTAAATCTCTCCCACTTAAGTAAATTAATTTTAAAGTGCCTAACCCGGATCACACCTGGAACTGTGAACTTTTCAAAAATTCTGGAAATTTATTGTTAGTTCTGAAATAACTTATCACATAAGTGCTAGGCCAGAAGAGGGATATCAGAAAAGGCAAAGGATAATTATTCTCCCTGTTAAGAGCCATTAAAAATTGCCTCGCAGAAACACATACAGGAATCAGCAAGAAAATCCGTCGCAGAACTGTGCTGTTAGCGTCATGGAACAAAAGTTGCTTTGGCCTTTTTTATCTTGAGCAGCAGCCTCACATAGTGCACAGCAAACTATTTTCAAGTTTCAAAAGCGAGTTGTGATATAGAAGGACAGCTTGCTATTCAAATAACCCTTCCTCAACAAAAAATCAAACGAGCATAGGGAAACCTTTTAAAAATCTAGGCCTTATTGAGTTTGATGAAGCACAATTGCAACCTTAAAACCACAACTCAAAAAACTACTTTAGGAACCTTTATTCCCACTCGCTCCCCACAACAGATTTTTTTCCATGAGATCATAAACTGCTCCTGCTATGTGGCATAGGGGACTGCTGTACAAGAAATACAGGTCTTAAAGGCCTCCTGGGCACACAGAGCTTCTTCCGTTCTTGGGATTGTGGCCTGCATTTTGCAACTAAGAAGTAAGCGCTTGCCCCAAGAACCTATCCTTTTACAATGCATTGCACCGGAATACACACCTACTCCAGGCTGTTGCTTTTCCCAGACTAAGGCTGAAATTCCCACTTATTGAGGATGAAGTCCCACAGAGCTCCATGAAACCTACTTCCAAGGAGAAATATACAGGGTTGCGCTCTAAGAGACTGATCCTGTGCATAATTACAAAGGCGGATTTAGGCCGGTTCAGCCACAATGGGGACACCACAACTATTATTTAGAATGGAGCACAAGAGGCAGGGGGCATGAAATTCTGGTGTCACACAGGGCGCTGCTGAAATTTGAGACCCCAAGGTCCGCCACCGCCTATTTACTCAGCAGACCAGCAAATTCAATGGCATGTTTTTTCCAAGGAAGCACGCACAGAACAGCAATCTGAGGAGGGCAATAATTTGTGTGAAAACAATATGTTAGACAGAAGATTCTACTCTGCAGAGAGGTTGATCAGTTGGGGAACCTGTGGCCTTTCAACTGCTGTTGGACTACAACTCCCATCATCCCTGACTATTGATCATACTTGGATCTGATGGATCGGAGATGGAGTCCAGCAAGATCTGGAGGGCCACAGGTTCCCCACCACCGGATACTGCTTCCTTTCAGCAAGCCTTTGCCCTTGACGAAGGCCAATGAACAGAAATGGCTCACGCCGATTTTCACATTCCCTTACCTACGCACCATCTGCAAAGCAACATAAAGACATTATACCCTTGTTCTTCTTGGTATGCCTTTGCAAACCTTTGGGGAGGTCATAATACAGTTTGGCAGACCAAACGATTGAAAGCCTGAACGTAACTGGGCTGTGGACCACTGTAGGTAAAAACCGAGCTCAGCTTTTCCATGAAGCTGCATTCGTTGTTAGCGAAAACCTAAGTTTCATCAGCAAGCAGAGAATTAGGACCTGCTGCTTCTTTTCCCTGAAGGGGATATCGACAAGAGCAATGTTTAGGTCAACAGCCTCCAAGCAAAGTGAATTCTGCATTTCATCAGTGCAAAGGGCAGCAGGGAAGATTTAAAGCTTTTTTCTTGGATATCAGAATTTAGAACCTAGAAGTACTTTAAAAGGGCCTAAATTCATAGTAAATTGCTGAATAAGACCAGTCCTTTACCAAGCTCTCCTCTACACACACACACACCAACTTCACATACTGTTAACATTTTACTAGCAGTATAGACACATGAGCAAACTATGCAAGGCTAGGAACATTCAGCTTCCTGGTCTTGAGAAATCATAGATTCCACAATCGCTAGCATGAACTTTTGGATATCTGCCTGTCCAGTGCTTCCCCTGTGCAAAAACACTGCTTGCTCTGAGTGCACTGGACAGGCAGAAGTTCTACATGAACATCACTGCTTTTGCCACAGGTTGCCTCGCTAAAGTAAGTAACTAAATAAAGTTGGATGGAAGATGCTAGGCTAGGCATGCTCTATAAATAAAGAACACTGGAAATCCGCACGCCAGAGGCGGGGGTTAATTGCCTTATTTTTACCTGCAATTAACACACTTTGCATCTAATTCACTTTAATATGGTAGCTGCTAGGCTTGGGGGACATAGATCTCACTTATTCTGCAATCCCTTCTTTCTGTTGTTGTTAATTGCCTATGCGAGAATGTTGCTCGAGATTGTCACAAACAAGTTAGTTTGACATTTAAAAGTATGACATCCTTTTTTTTAAAAAAGCAATGAGATCCGCAAAAGAATTTGAACGCCTTACTTGGCATCTGTGTTTTGACACTGTATCGTTCTCAACCTAATCTGTGTCATGAGGCTTAGAAACTTCCCCTGCCCTTAAAACTAAAATCTGGGCATTCACAAAAATGGACTGCAGAGAAGTAGGCTGCCCACAACTCTTTCAGAAATTCTGGAAAAGTTTTGAAATAGATATGCCTAAAGAATTTATTCCAACCTTTCCTGATGAATGTATTCTCAGCATAACCAGCTCAAATGTATCCCTATGACACACAAATCTATCTTTTTCTTATTCCTCCCCCCCCCTCAATCCTCTGCAGTTACTTAAACAGATCAGAAATATTGGTTTATCACACCAGGAAAATAAAAGAAATGAGAAATAAAGGAAACAAGACCCATTATGTTTTTGTCATCCCCTTATACGTTACCTGCAGTTCCAGGTCTCTCCAATTTGTAGTCATTCACAAGCAGATCGACAGTTTCAGCAACAAGGCAGTGAACTGGAAGAAGTGACTGCTTTGCTTCCAAGCTGGTTCTCTTGGGAATTTCTGCTGAACGAAGAACTGGAAGAAATCTATATTCTATTTCAGCCGCTGGGACACCACTCAGTTATTTTAATGATTCTAGATTGCCCCCCTCCCCCCTTGATATAGTGGAGGGTTAGCACCTTGAAGAAAACAAGCTCTCATTTTCCGTCCTGACAATAAAGTTTTATTAAAATTGTTCATTAATGCTTCATGTGTAGCAAGAATGCATAGATCCCAAAATATACATATGTCTTTTTTTCTCCTTATAGAAATAGACCATTCTTTATAATAAAAAACAACTGTAGGAACATCTTTAACAGATTACTCAATCCATGACTGACAGTTACACGAGGTTGCATCATGTGTAGCCAGCTTTTCCAGCCATGTTTTAAAGATTGCATCACTCTGGCCTCTCTTTCTCTCTACTTTATTCTCTCTCTCTTCTTAAATAACACAAGCATTCAACCCAAAAAGAAAAAAAAGGGGGGAAAGGGGAGGGAGAGGGGAAACAACCGCTGCAAAGGCATCAGATCGGAAATTAAGTGGCTTGTGTCGGGTTTGCCGTCACCTTTTTTTTTTCTTAGAAAAAAAACAGTAACAAGAAAAGTTGGAGGGGGTAAAATAAAAACAAATCACGATTCCTCCATGAAGTTTGCAGAGGTAAATGGAAACCGCCAGGAGACTCCCCGCGCCAGCCGAAGGAGTTGGACAGCACGTAGCTTAGAGCGGAAGGCTTCTCCCACCTTGAGCGCGCGAATTAAAGGTGAAATAATAAAAATAAAAATAAAAATGATACGCATTCATATATGTAAACCCTCTGGGCTCGCTCTCTCCCTCGACTTCTCCCCCCCGATTCTGCCTCGCCTTGTAAGGAGCGGGGAGACGATCGTGTACAAACCCACCCCAGATCCCACCGCCCCCAACCTCGCCGATCCTTCCCCCAAACTCCATGCGCCGCCTGCGCCCCCCCTTCCCAGCTCAAACCCCCTTCCCCCTCAGCTCTCGTCGGGGGTCGGCTGGGGGTTAGCAGTGTCCGGAGGTGGCCAAGAGCGGCTCGGGCAGCTGTTTGAACAAGTTCCTGAGCGTGCTGAGCTCCCGGGAGAGCTGGTCCACTTTCTTTTGCAGCCTCTCGTTCTCGGCCGTCAGTTCCAAGACTTTGTGCTGCGTCTCCATGTTGCGCAGCTTGGCTTTGTCGCGGCTCTTGCGCACGGCGATGTTGTTCCTCTCGCGCCGCAGCTTGTACTCCTCGCTGTGCTTGTCCACGCACTTCTTCGACTTGTGCTTGCCGCCGCCGCCGCCACCTCCGCCGCCGCCACTACCGGGGCCTGCCGGGTAAACGCCGCCGCCGCCGCCACTTCCTCCTCCGGCCGAGGCGGACTTCGAGGAATCGGACGGGTTCGGGGTGCCCGGCGGGCTGGAAGACGACGACGTGGAGAGGTTGCCGCTGCTGCCGCTCGGCACCGACTGGTAGCCCAAGTAGGAGCGCACGGTGCTGCCATAAGGAGAGGACATTCCCCCCAGGCCGGGCCCTGCGCCGCCGCCCGCGCCGGGGCCGCCGCCCTCGTCCTTGCGGGGCCCTTTGCAAGAGTCCAAGTGCTCGAAGACCGGCTCCACTTTGGTTTCCACCATGGGCGGGTAGCAGCCCAGCAGCGTGCCGGCCTTATGGCCTGCTTGCCCGACGCCCGGGTGGTGGTGGTGGCCGTGCCTGGCTAGGCTGATGTACGCGTAATCGGGGTGCTTTTTCCCGCCGCCTTTATAGTCCTGCTCCGAGAAGAGGTCGGAGAGAAAATCTTGGCTGCTGTTCCCGCCGCCGCTGCTGCTGCTGCTGCCTCCGCTGCTGCTGCAAACCGGCTCAAAGTTGCCCCCTGCTGCCGCGGAAGGAGGCGGCTGCTGCTGCTGCTGCTGCTGTTGCTGCTGCGCCTGTTGCTGCTGCGATGCTAAAGGGTCCAGGTAAGGGCTGAAGTCGATGGCTCTCTCGTGGTCTCCGACGGTGAGCTCGGTCATGGAGCGGCCCCCTGGAGCCCGGGGGTGCAGCTTGCTCAGAGCAGCCAGACAGTCCGCCTCGTAATAGAAATTAGCCACTTCCATGGATTTAAAGGCCGGCGGCTGGAGCGGGAGGCATGCCTGGTCCCAGGCCACCAGGCGTTGCATGAAAGCAAAAGGAGAGGCGGGGAGCAGACGGGGAAGGGGGCGAGGGAGAAAGGGGGAGTCCCGGCCCCCCGGAGCTGCTGGGGCGGTCGAGTCGCTGGCTTCAGACGGCGAGCACGATCGGTCGCGCAAAGCTCTTGCGTTCCTTGTAGAGGGCTCCTTTCCCCAGCGCGCCCGCTGACCGTCCGCGCCCGCAATGCTTCAGAGACCCCGAAGCTCCAGGCTCTCCTGGACCCCGGTGCTGGTGCTGGTGCTGCGGCCGCTGGCTGCCGGGCTGTGTGGCTGCGGGTGAAGCTCGCTGCGGACCATCTGGTTGCTCCGGGTGCCGCGCCGTCGCTTAAAAGTCTCTGGACTTGGGAAAGTTCCTTTGCGCGCAGTTATTTATAGGGGCGGCGCGTCCCTTGGCAACGGGACGTCACGCCTAGCTGGCTGGCTGCCACGAGCTCGCGCAGCGCACGAAAGCGCCTCGCCCGCTGGCTGCAGCCTCAAAGGAGCGCGCTCCGAGTGCGTGTGGACCTCCCGGAGCCTGGGCCATTCATAATAACAACAACAAGGCGCGGATCGAGGGGAGGAGAGGAGGGAGGCATGGGTGGATTGGGTTTGGCCCGGGGAGGGGCTTTATTCTCCCCAGACGGGACAAAGTTTTCATTTCAAGTCGATCGATCTGTCTTAACTCTCTCTCTCTGTGCGTCTTTCCAAGGCAAGAACAGGCGATGCGACCTTGCAGCCAAATCCACCGGCTCTTTTGCAGCCTGGTCCTGGGAGACGCACACTCAAAAAGAGGAACCATTTGTCCAGTGTGTTTCATGTTCAAGATGCACACTCAAGACTGTTTCCTTTTGCGTCCTGGTCTGTGGAGTTGAGTTGGGCTTATTTACTCTGGAGTAAAAGTGCTGAGGATTGGGCGCTCAGCAGGGTAAGGAGGAAGTTCTTCTGAACAGAGTGGAGCTTCTGAGGAAAGAAGGGTTAGGATCAGAGGAGGGCAACAGCAGAGCCTCTTTGCTTTCAGTGCAGCGGGGTTTAAAATCTGTTTTAGGCTGCAATGCTAAACACAGGACTAGGGACTAGACCCACTGAATACAGCAGGTTTTTTTCTTTCTTTAATACCTGAGCCTCGGTTTGTGCACCTCAGGGATTCTGAGCGCAAGAACAGAGCCAGTTGTGTTTCATGTTGAAGCAAATGAGGAAGAAGTGTCCACAAGTGCAAAACTGAGGCCAGTGAGGCAAAGCTACTCAAGTTTGGGGGTGAGATCCTGCACGTTTCATTTTAGAACCCTGAGCCTTTTCTCTCTCCCCTTCTCTTTCACATGCTTCAGAGATGGCCACCTGTTTGAAGAATGGGAAGAGAAATCACATAAGGGAGCCATGCCCTAGACTGGATTCAAAGGAGGCTAAAAGGAGGGTTTTAATGGGCCTCTGGAAGTGACTGGAAATGGTCATTGTGTGTCTGTCAGCCTTTAAGGCTTGAGCATGTCTGGGCATCACACCACTTGCCCAGTTAGACCTCCTTAATCCTAGATCTGGTTCTGGAATGATGGGAGGTGGAAAGTCACCCTGCCTCCAATCAGAACTACTTCCTTGCTTCACGCATTCCTGAGTTCTGCCTTGGCACTGAATACTTTCCAAGCTTTGGAAAACAATGGACTTCTAATATTTGAATTGCCCCAGAGAGCAGCACAAGACTTCTGAGATTAACCTGGCTGGGCAATTTCTTCTTGCAAAGGCTGTGGGCCAGATACTAAATTGTCACTATTTGGGTCTAGCAACTTCAGACGTGCCCAGGCAGAAAGCGCTCCTCTTTCCAACATGAGATTCTTCTTTTGTTTTGCAACTGCTGCAGGCCTGCGTTTGACCTGGTAGTGACAGGTACCACACTTTAAGAAGCCTTGCTTGGTAGGGCAGTGACATTATATGGCAAAATACAGCCCTTACGGACTCCTGCAGTCTCCCACCGGGACTGGGGAAGCACGACTGAGCTGGAAGAGCTGCAGCAAGCTTGGGGGGAAAATGAACCCTGGTACCCTGTTTAATTAAAGACACCCACCTTTGGAGCCAAGCATATATTTCACCCTCTTTCACTCCCACATTTACCTGTTTACAAGATAGTGACTCACTCCCAGAATAAAGGACATCAATTTAAAACAAAACATATAATTAAAGAAAGTAGGAGTGTCCTTTGCAAAGACGACCCAGCGCTGAAGAGAACATGGCATTGCATCTCAGAGTGATGTGAAGCAATTCTGCGGTGTGAGAAGCATTGTAACGTTAAGCCAGAGGAACAGGTATTGCATTATGTGATTCAAACAGTCAACAGTTCACGAGGGCTCAAACCTCAGAGAGATTCAAAAAGAGGAAGAATTCGGAAATCGGGTTGTACAGACCTGCGTTCCCTTCCCTTCTCTCTCTCTCTCTCTCTCTCTCTCTCTCTCTCTCTCCTCTATTTTGAAAATGATTTTCTTCATTGGAAATGCAGTAATGACAGAACACCTAGAAGCCTTCAGGGCTGTTGTACCCTCTGTGCACTCCTTTGGCTTCGTGGCCTTCTGGGTTGCTTGTTGGTTTTTTTTTAAAAAAAATTCTCCTTAAAAGTAGGTTCCTAGTCCTCATGGTTTCTAGTCCTCTGAAGCATTGCATGTTTTATATGCCAAATGCTGAGAAAAGCTGAGGACATAAGGCGGCTATGTGCATGCTGTACCTTTAAAGCACATTATTTCCCTCAAAGATTTCTGGGCACTCTTGTTTGTTAAGAGTTGCCAAAACGCACTAAAAAGTGTGTTTTCCCAGGGAATGTGGTGGGGTAAATGGAAAGCTGCTCAGACCTGTGCTTTCTAGCACGGGACAAGCAGAAGTGTAGGCAAGCCCTGAGGCCCAAATCAAACATGTGTTTTCAAGTGTCTCACCATTGGCCGGGCTGGCTGGGTCTGATGGGAGTTGAAGTCCAACAACATCTTGAATGGCCACAGGTTCCCCATCCCTGCTCTGTGCCCACCTTCACACCTGACTGTGAAGGCAAGCATCTTCATCTCTGTGGGTACCATGGCATCTTGTGCAGGCTGCAGGTGGTTGGTACGTTGCTCTGGTTCAAAGTTATAGGGTGGCCTTTTGTTTAAAAAACCAGAAGCCTTTTTACTGGGTATAGTGGGTGAAGGGATCCCAAGGGAAGATAAAAGACTATTTATGTATGCAACAACTGCGGCAATAATTCTTTCAGCCCCAAAATGGAAACAACAAAAAGTGCCAACGAAAGAAGAGTTGCAGATGAAGAGGATGGACTTTGCAGAACTGGCGAAGCTGACAGGAAAAATCCGAAACCAGCACGATCAAGTATTCCAAAAGGATTGGAGTAAGTTTATACAATATCTGAAAGATTATTGTAAGCAATTAACATCACTAGCAGGGTTGTCTGGAGACTTGTAATGAGAAATTTTCTGTCTTTCTGTATTTATTTAAATTTTGAGCCATTTTGTAATGAGTATAATTAGAATTGGAAAACGTGTAAAATGCAATGATATAAAGGTTAATTTCGAAAGCCATGAGGCGGGAGGGAAGGTAGTCAATGTATAATATTAAATGGAAAATAAAAATTATACACAGAGAGAAAGAGAGAGAGAGTTATAGGGTGGCATTCAACTAACTTTTACTCAGAGTAAACTTATTGAAATTAATGGATTAATTTAGGCGTGGACTCTCAGAATTGTAGCGGCCCTGAGGGTCATCAATCAACCCCCTGCAATGCAGGAATCTCAACTAGATAAAACATGGCAGTCGGCCACCCAACCTTTGCTTTACAATCTCCAAGGAAGGAGAATCTAGCACTTCTCATGGGAGTCTGTTCCAATAAGACCTCTTAGTGTCAGAAAGTTCTTCCTGATGTTTAGTTGGGATCACCTTTCTTGTAACCTGAATCCATTGATTATGGTCCTAGCTTCCGGATCAGGAGAAAACAAGTTTGCTCCATCTTCAATGTACATTATTTTTTAATGGTTAAATTTAGGTGGATACCACTGATAGCTAGTTCTGTATGCAGTTCTCTTCCTGTTCTGTGCCATTATCCTCTTGAAGAGTGGATTACAGCGGCTGCACCTACATTTCAAGACAGACACTCCTCTCATCAAAGGCTGAGAAGCCCTTTCCAAAGAGCTAAGAATAGCAGTATTTCTATTGCTGTTTTTTTAAAAAAAATAAAAAACCTGAGTGTGTGGATATTTTGTTGTGTGTGTGTTGTTTTGGAAAGGAGAGGTGCTGCTGCCAAAAGAATGTAGTGTGATTAATCTTTTTGAAAAGGCGAAGGGAGAAGCAACTGATCTTCAGTCAAGTCTAGGCTCATGATTTCATGGTCTCCCTAGATTTCACTTGCTCTCCCCAAGATCACATAGTGAAACCTACTTGTTTTCCAAGCCCTCTTCACATGATGGTCCTTCCACCTAACAGCCTAATTCGGTACATGTCTACTCAGAAGTAAGTCTCACTGTGTTCAGTGGGGCTTCCTTCCAGTTAACTGGATGTAGAGTTGCTGCTTTAAATCTGGAATGCGTTTCTCTAATGTTGACATATAAAAGATTGCAATTTCTAAACAGAAAAAAAACCTTTTGTTTTATACATAATATTAAACTATATTACTGGTGGCCTCTTATTTTTTTTTAGTTTACGGGCACTCCAAAATAAAATGAAATGGCACCATTTTTCTGACATTGGTATTCCATAACAAGGTTCCATAAGAGTCTGGAATTAATTAGTTTGTTAGCTTAATGTGGTTTCCTTGTTGTCCCAGTACTTTACTAGTAATGTTTTAGCAGCAAGAAGGAAGGAAGGAAGGAAGGAAGGAAGGAAGGGCAAAGCTTCACCAAGGTACTGAAAAAAATATTTAAATTATAGCAGAAATATATTAATGGCTACATGGAATTAAAACCCATTGGGTCCACTGGACTGCCTAGTAATAAAACAGTAAAAAATGCAACACTACATAGGCCTACTCAGAAGTAAGTCCCATTGGGTTCAGTGGGCTTACTCCCAAGTAAGTGGGAGCCTAAAATACACAGCTTGTTTTTTTTATTAAGGCCTTCTTCAGAATCACTAAAATAATAATAAGTGTATGGCTCAAAAAATAAACGACGATACATGTTATTATTTATGTATATAAATGCCTGAAGACGCCATTGGGCTGTTAGCTGCTTATTATCAATTGCCATGTATTTTCCCCCAGTGCCATTTTGAGGCTTTCTGTTGCTGCTTTTTCATGGCTCTCTTGCGTGGCAACACCCCCACCCCACCCCCTTCTTTCTCATTCTCAATAATATTTTGGCACAAGTAAATGGATTCCCAATAACGTCTCTGTGTTCCTTCATCACATTGTGTTTCAAGGATCCAAAGATAGTTACTAGTAGGACTAATTAGAATTTCATAACCAATCATAGCCTTCATCTTCTCCACCAATCTTTAGTAACCTGTTCCTACTGGTTGAAGTTGGGCAAAAGGGAGAGGGCAGACTCCTTCCTGAAGAACACCAACATGTTAATTCCTTGGCTATTATTGGCTTATGTGACCATAACAGGAATAAGATCGACTTCCCTACAAGAGTGGCCAGGTCAATGTTGCTGGACTACATTGCCCATCATTCCTTGCCATTGGCCATCCTGCCTGGGGCTGATGGGAGTTGGAGTCCTATTGCACTTGGCAGGCCACAGGTTCCCTATCCCTTATCTGTAGCTCCAACGAACAACAGGAACCCACTCTCAGCCTTACCTGGAGATCCCAGGGATTGGACCTCAACCTTTCTACATGCAAAGCTTGTGATCATCCACTTTGAAAGACTAGCACATTTATTATGGCACAAAATTACGATCCACTCCATCAGATGCATGAAGTGTTGTCCTGAGTTAGAGGTATATACACGATTGGAATGAGGATTGTAAACAGCGAGGTCAGAAGAGGGGGAAGTGCAGAAAAGTACATAGCATGGTAATTACTAATAGCGGCCATTCTCACACACAAGAAGTTGCTGTTAATCCAAACATCCTGGCATTGGTAAGACCATCAACGCATGTAATATGAAACGAAAGCTTTCTTCTGATTCTGCAAGGCTATAATCTGAAGAATGTTCTCTTGGATGCAAGGCTCACCCAAGTCAGTGGGGCTTGCATTCAATAAAACCTCTACAGGGTTGAGGTGCTAGCTATAAATGCCAGTGTCCTTCCTTCCTTCTATTGCTTTGTGTATAATATTCACATTACAATGACCTCCAGACTCCACGAAAGAAAATTAAAGTTGTCTCCCAGTTTTCATTGGTAGTCAGTTTCAAGAGATGGGCTCTGAGTTTGCCACAGTCCTGCTTTTGACACTTGTCAGTACAGTCATACCTCTTCTTGCGAATGCTTCATGTTGCGTTTTTTTGGGTTAAGAACGCAGCAAACCTGGAAGTGTTTACTTCCAGATTTCACCGCACGTGCAGAAGCGTTCTGCGTGGTTCGCACATGCGCAGAAGCACCGCTCTGGTTACAGACTTTTCAGGGTGCAAACGGCACCCGGGAACGGATCATGTCCACAACCAGAGGTACCACTGCACTGCCAGATAAAAAGATGTGATGTCAATTTACTACTCCTAGTGCTCAAAAACAATATTTCAACTCTACCTAGCCAAGTGATAGGCTCCTTGGACAAATTTTCACACAAAGGTGAGGCCAACACCATTTCGCCTTCAAAGTATATTACATTCCCAATTAGCTGTGAATGTAAGTTTTCTCTCTTAATATTGCACAACATCCATTGGTTTTAAAAAATCAAGATTGGGAATGCATGAGTCACTATAACTGTTGTTAATGCCTCACCTGCAGAAGACAACAGTTTTGTAAATGCTAATTTTTTTGGTCACTGATAATCTGTCTTTACAAATGGTCCAACAATACCAGTGTTTTCAGACACCTAAATGTTTAAACGTTTCTTTGATTGTCCTTGAATCTCTTCGCCACACTTGCTCTCCTCTCCTGCAACACCCTTTGAGAGCCACTGGGCTGATGTGAAGCAAGTGGCTTGATGGCACGCTCTCCACTGTTTGGGGGGGAAGTGCCAAAATGAGTTATGGATGAGCCCACCAAAGAGAAAACGATCCCTGGGTCCAATATTCAAAGCATGCCCTAGGAAAGCGAACAGGAGATGTTAGAAAAGATGAGCCTATCTTCCTAGCCCCCGCTTCTTCTAGTCTCCACCGTGCTTTAAACTCATCCTGTTCCAGACTCACCTCTGACCCAGCACTCCCAACCTTTGTAGCACGTGAGGTTGCACAACCTTTCGCTTTATCTGCCCAAGCGATGCTCTTTGCCCTACAGGGTACATGAGAGACGTCACCTGGCCATCGGCAGCTCCTGCCTGTTGCCTGTGGGACAGCATGACCAAAATGCTTTCCTCTACCTCTCGGAAAATTTCCAGTGCATCGGAGAGGTCAAAGTAGCAGCTGCGTTTCTCGTCTTTATGGAGGAAACTGCTGGAAGGGCTAACCCACACTGACGGGGCACTTTTGACAAAGGCAAAATGGAATTTTTGCTTCAGACGCTTTGTCTGACTGAAAGGAGGCCTCTTTGCCTTTTACAAGTACTCAAACATGAAATCAGGCCGCGCATACCTTCATATGTAAAGTCTGAATTGAATAAATGCCCACTTCCCTGAGCGTTTTTGCAGCCAGATCCCATATCTATCCCATGGTATCTGCGAGTCTTATTTCCAGGTAAGTAGGCTTACTACTATAGCCTTACAACATAATTACTAATCTCTAGGAAGCGAGCATTGCCTCCTTTCATTCATTCATTGGCTAATTCGTTGCTTGGTCTGCTTATGGCTTAATCACTGCACTCCATAGGAAATGGATACTGAATACAAGGCGTGAGAAAGCCCTTCCTAAGTTGCAAAGTCCCCATTTGCATCTCTGTTTCTAGGGAAATTCATATAAAATGGCTTTCTCATTCAATGTAAATGCAAGAAATTGATTGTCAAACAAAACCAAGCATTGTACACTAATTTGTGATATATACACAGGATAGTGTGTATATTAAGATACACTGCTTTTAATAACAGTACAGTCATACCTTGGAAGTCGAACAGTTTAGTTCCCGAATGTTTTGGCTTCCAAACATCGCAAACCCAGAAGTGACTGTTCCGGTTTGTGAACTATTTTTGGAAGCTGAACGTCTGACGGGGCCTCCACGGCTTCCGATTGGCTGCAGGAGCTTCCTGCAGCCAGTCAGAAGCCGCGCTTTGGTTTTCGAACATTTTGGAAGTCGGATTCTGTTCAACATCCAAGATACGACTGTACTTGGAATCTGTAGTGCATTCCAAATGCAATAATGGTAAGCTGGACCAGTATTACCACCTTCATACTACAAATTGAGGGACAGTGACTTGACTAAGACAACCTAACATGTTCACATTTGGATTTGAACTAAGCATTTCACAATGTAACTCTGATCGTATACAATGCCAGATACTTGCAAACAATCGAAATGAACAGTGCAACCAGCGAAAACGTTTCTGTCCAACCAAGCCTTTTGTTGATTAATATTTTACGGCCTTTTAAATGTGTTTGTGGGAAGGGGTGTTATTGTTTTGTTTTTATTCTAACTATTTATTTCTCCTTTTATCCTGTATTTTTATCTTGCGAACTGCCCTGAGATCTTTGAATGAAGGACAGAATAATAAATAAGCAAGTAAGTCCAACACACAATACACCATACAGCCTTGCACTGCGGTATCTTACCTTCTCCCCTAGCCACTCCCGCAAGAGTGGTTCCCATCATAGTGGGATGCAGCAATGGATTTGTCAATGGAATGCATGGATATCCTCTTCCCCTCCCCCTCCACTCAATCACACACTGACTTACTCCCCAAACAACTACCTAGCTGCAAAATGCTCTTGGAACGATCTCTCCGCCTTTGTGCAATAGCAGCTCGCATGTTTTTATAGCTGCCAACACAAACCCATTTAAGACAAGCCCATGCAGCCCAAACAATTACTTTATTCTTCTTTTCCCTATGTTTAATTGCTCTGTGCTCGCTTACTCCCTGAAGCTATTGACATCATTTCAGTTTATTTCCTCGGTCCAGATTTTGACAGATTGCAATGAGTTTTTGAATGCCAAGATAGATGCACGGGTACATAGTCGGAAAGGGGGGGTGATATTTTAGACAGAGACAACAACAATATAACATAATAATGAGAACAATAGCAAAAACTGGCTGCTAATTAGCTACTGGGTGCTGGTTGAAGGTGCTGGTT